TATAATAATTCTTATTAAAATATAAACGTGTAATTTTCTGTAACAAATGCCCTTCCCCAGATCATGTTGTAAAGGACATCAATTTCAGCTTTAAAAATTAAGAATGTCCATGTGTGTTTTCAATTTTTGTTCCTACACATTCAACTATGTCCTTCATATTTGGCATTTTGATTTATTAGGCAATCTTAGTATTAAAGACATTTAGCAAAGCAGTGTTAGATTTCAAATGCTCTGTGCATGGTGTCCATGATGAATTAAATTCCACTAGAGCACAAAAGTTATTATTACTTAAATATAAGTTACTTTCAGAAGTTTCAGATCACAGTGAAGTTTTCATATTCATAATTTAGCTATATTTTGAGGTAATTTCTTATTGAATGTGTAGCTTTTCCCACTTTTGTGAATATGCATAGAAATATTTAATATTATTTAATATTGAAATTTTATAATTCCATTAGATGTATTTGAGAATAAATGACAACTTTTAAAATATTTTGGTGTACTTTTTTAAATGTCATATTCAGAACCCTTTAGATTTAAGGAATATATTTGGATAAATAAATTACACAGTAGAATAAATGAGATCCTGGGTGTAAAGTGTCTCTTAATGCCACTGAAACAATTTGAAAATTAGAAATAAATAGTTTCAAACTTTTAAATGTACTGTTATTTGTTCTTAATTTTTCAGGAAGTCATTACTTTTCATTCATTTGTTGTGTTCATAGTAAGATGACAAAAGGACAAAAAAGATTTAATATTATGTTATCAGGAATAAGAGGAGCAGTATCGTTGTAGAAAGTGGAGACCATTTTTCCCTTCTTTACCTTCCTAAAAATCAAATTTGGCTCAATTGATCAACAGATCTATGCATCATAGATACACACACACACACACACACACACACACGTTTACACACACAGTGTAGAGAGTGGAAGGGAGGAAGAAATGAAGACATTTGGGGAAGATGAAAAATCGGGAGAAGAGAAAGGTAAAAAAAAGACCAAGGAAGAGACACTGGGTAAGCAACATGGACCAATAGTGTCCCTGGTGGTGGCTGGGGTAACACAATGAACTGTTCTTGCCCAGGTCAAGCCTCTAACTTTTGAATACGGCTGCAAATGCATTGTGGGGTATATGCAGATTTCTGTTATTTCTCTGGCATATAACTATCTCACTTGGTACCATTTTATACCATTAGAACTTATAACTCTCAGAGGAAAATATAAACCAACAAGTCTAGCATTCAGTACTACCCTATCATAAAGTAAGGAGGTCTAATTGAGCTATGTCTTTATATCCTGCTATTTGTACAAATAAAAGACTACATCTTGATGCAAAATAAACACAAAAGCACTGTTGTGACTATAACAGGGAGTCATATACTAATTTATATAATAAGTGGTTGTGCACGCTTTATTCAAGATTATGGCTGCACGAAATGGCATGAATTGCGGGGTGTGTTTAATGCTGGATTATAGCAATTTGAAACATGTCAAACACATGGCTAATGCCTCATGCTTCACTCATTCTTGCGTAAACCTGCATAGCCACCATCCATTATACCCTTGGTAACAACACAATTCTGCAAGTAAATATTGTTACACTAAGTAACCTTTCAATTCAAGTTGTTTAGGAAGAGAAAATGCAATCTTGTGCAGTCAGTTCCAGTGTCAGTTTAATGTTTCAAAAGGGAAGTGGTGTAGAGAATAAGTATCTGTACAGTGACTTGCTTAAGAAAAGGAGGAAGAAAGGAAAACTTAATGCAGGGAAGAAAAGTAGAACTGCATCACTTGAGTGCAAGAGCTGAAGAGTTAATTTCTGATGTGGCTGAAAAGTTTTGAGTAATGAAAGACTTAAGGTTTTTAACTTATACTTCAGATGAGCATTAAAACAGTGACTCCCAAACTCACCTTCCCTTGTATTTATCTGGAATTTATTTTCACCAATTTTTATAAAATGTTTATGGTAGGATTGAGAAGCATGAATAATTTGGCTTGATATGGTTGGGATCACAAGTATACCCACTCAAAAAGAATATGCTGAATGTATGACTATTTTAAATATACTCAAAAGATAAGCAGAAGCTGCATTGTGCTAAACATATTTCCTCTAGTGAAAAAATAAGTGTTGAGGTCTTATTAGAAGAAATTTAGTAAATGCCAAAAAAAAAAAATCACTGCACTGAAGAAATGTTTCCTTTATAGTGAATATACTCCAACCCTTCTTTAGGTGAAATGCACATTATAATCATCTAAGTATACAGTGGCCCTTCATTTTCATATTAATGCTGGTTTCAGTGTTTCTGTTTTGTAGAGCAAAAGTACTATCATTGTTACAGTTTTCTTACGCATTATTTTACTAACTTTTAGATGGTTGAACTTAAAATGTAAATCACAATTTGTACTCTGGATGCTTTAGAAAGTAAAAAACTTCACAAGGGATATTAAAATGATTCAGTTACTAAGCAGTGGATGTTGGTCTTTATTAATAATTATAATGAAGATTTAGACACATGACTCTCAGCTTGTTGATTACTTGTAATTATTTGATAGCTTTATTTATAACACAGTAATAAAGGCAAAATTCTTAAATTCATTCAGTTGATCCTGACATAAATACACCACGATTAATGTAAAATGTTGCACCTCTCTGCTATATTTGAAAATACACTTCTTCAT